TCTCTGATATGCTATGTAGCATCTTCCAAAACAAACAAAACCAAAAAAAGACACGGGCTGGTGAGATGGCTCAGCTAGTATAGTCCAAGGCTGAGGACCTGGAGTTGAAGCATTCACTTATACAGCCTTGTGTCTCAGGTAGCACATTTGACTCTTGGTCCTGGGGAAGCAGAGACAGGATCCCTTGGACTTACTGGCCAATAGTGTAGCTGAACCAGTGAGCTTCAGATTCAGTCAGAGACTCACCTCAAAAAACACGGTGGATAATGATGAAGACACCCAGAGTTGACCTCTGACACATACATGCATGTCTACCCCTCCCACCAAGATACATTCTGTTGCCATGTGCATACACACATGAACTTAAGCAGATACATAAAGTGTCTGATTAACACCTGGAAAGTAGACCAGTTCTCCCCAACTGCACGGTTCCTTTCCCTGGTTCTGTATTGCTTAGGTATAAGTTGGGTTAATGAGAGGCATATGGGGGAAATAGATTGTTAAGCTTGTTGGAATCTGATATAAAAACTAAAATTTCCTTTTCAAAATGTGCCTAATAGGTTTTACAAACCTTTTTTGTGACAGTACTTAAAATTGAACCAAGGACCTCATAGGTGCTTGACAAGGTTCTACTACTGAGGTAGTGCCCCATCCCTAATTATGTGGTTTTATTGATTGGTAGACTTGTATTAATACAAGTTTTAACCTATGTACGGTTATAAAGCAAAGAAATGCTTCAGCTGGCAATATGAAACAGTGACGAAGCTTATGTCTTAGTGAAGAATGAGGAAAGCCTGGAAAACCCAATTGACTTGTCTGTATAAATGGGGCATAGCCTGCTCTTAGGACAGATGTGGAGTGGTTCTCTGTTTGTGTAGTTCTCCAAAGGTATCTGAAAATGCTTTTGTTTACTAAGGTTTGTGGCTGGTCTCCCAAATTCTTACTGGCAGTGTGTGTTTGCTTGTAGGCCGATGGTCATGAATGAGGACCCAGGAGATTGTGTATGACTGCCAGCCAGAAAGCCTGAATTCTAGACTCAACTCTGTCAGACTTTGGCCTGCATTAATGATGTGAGCCATTCTGTCCAGTATTGTCCTACTGGGTTGTAATTAGTGAAGTGCTGCCAATAGGACGAATTTATGCTAGATACACTTTTTCTTAAAGAACCCAGTCACTGAAATTTGTAAGTGTGGAAGGGAATAGAAGAGTGAGTGCCAGAGGTATGAAATAAAATTCTTGTCTATAGAGTTAGTCAGGGACACCTGGAGAAATACTGTCTTCTTCTTCTTCTTCTTCTTTTTTTTTTTTATTTAAGTTCTTAAGAAAGTTGAAATATTGGGAGTCTGGTATAGATTTTATAGGAGATGAAAATTTAGAGATTTGCTTAGAAGCAGAGGCAGAGTTTTGACATTTGAAACTAAGTTAAAAAGGCTGGTGAAATGGCTCAGTGGGTTAGGGAACCTGCTGCCAGCCCTTACCTCATTGCAGCCTGCAGAACCCACTCGTGCAAATCGTTCTCTGGCCCTTGTGTGCCACAGGGGACATGTAAAAACCTTTTTCTCTTGTTTTTTAACATGAAGATAAAGGATTTGAGGGTCTTCCTTATGTGAGATAATACCCCCAAACTAATTTTAGCTCATGAACCAACTATAGTTTTTTTTTTTTAATTTTGAAAAAAAAAAACTTTAAAATGCAGCTACATCATTTTCTCATTTCCATTTCCTTCCTGCAATGCTTCTCATGTTCTTTCTCCAACCTTTCACCCTAACCCATAGTCCCTTTTAAATTCGGGGCCTCTTTTTCTTTGATTATTACTAATTTATGTGTGGAGGGAATAATTAGTCTTCTTAAGGATGGGCCCCTCATTGGTTACCCAGTATCAAGTGGTCAGCCATGAAAAATCATGTATGTGCAAGAAACTCAGAAACATGTATCTATATGTGTGTTCTCTCTCTCTCTCTCTCTCTCTCTCTCTCTCTCTCTCTCTCCTATTTGGGATAGTTGTAAAGGAAAATGTCTTTTATTTTGCTTGGTTGGCAGATGGCCGGGCATAGTTTTGCATGACTATAATCCAGCACTCAGGAAGCTGAGGCAAGAGGATTTCAAAAAAATTGAGGCCAGCCTGGACTACATTCTAATAAAAGAACATAAGTTGCCTCCCTAGACAGAAGTGTAAGTGTTAAACTTTACAGATACCATTAATTCTAAGCAGACAGGAAAACTGGATCATTTCAACTTCTGTAACTTCAAAGGAGATTGAATTAAATAACTGAAGCTTTTCAATCATATTTAATACCAGCTTTTTAAAAAATAACAGTTCACAAAGCCCTATACAGGCCTTCTGTGAATCCATGAAATACCTCAAACATTTTCTTAAATGTGTGACAAACCTAATTTAATTTTCTCATTACCATCTTCAAATACTGATCAATAAGGCAGTATTTTTTTCTCCTAGTTATTTTCTGTCCTTGAAAGTTGAATAAAATTTCTTGAGACCATATTTAATTTATTCATCGTTGTTTCTCCACTGTCTATAGGAGTTGACATCTAGTATTGCCGGATTAGTATATGTTAGCTTTCTAGCTTGGCAGTCATTTGTCAGTGGGGCAGTACCTAGCATTCATAGTGAACAGCCTGTTCATTGTGAGATGGTTTTCCTTTTTCATCTTACTGTATCCTGCAGTATCTTTGAGCAGAAATTCATTCCGTCACACTTTAATAAACACCCGAAGTGAAGAATAATACCCCTTAAATATCTGTATTCTCTGCTTCTAAAAGTCATTCCCTCCTTTTAAGATTCACTTGAGATGTCATAGTCTTGATAAAGCTGTGTGTTTTCTTAGGTATGGTTATTGGTTCATAGTGTTTGCAAAACACTTGGAGAGGAGAGATTCTGAATGGGATTTTGAATTACAAATGGGCACAGTCAACCAGCCTCTTAGCCGCTGCTAAAATATGTGCATCTTAGGGCTGGAAGTCTAATAGTAGGAACAGTCTGCACATCAGACAGTATTTTGATAATTGTGAGGTGTGGGCTAAGTCAAAGAGCAGCTGGAAGTAGAATTTATCTGTGGTTGATCCAGGCAATTTGGTGTATCCTGTCTCATTAACTTGATTCTTGGAGAGCTGTTAGGAAGTTACTATCTCCATGTTACAGATAGGAGACTCCATGGTTTTCCCATTGTCACACTGTCTAGTAACAGAAAAGATGTTCACTGGGTCTGACTCCAGTACCCGCCCGCGTACTAACTCCAGACTGTGGAGTACTCCACAGTTAGTACTCCATCCGGCTTTGTGGATGTGCTCCTCTTAGTCTTTTAGGATAATACTGTAGAGTAGTGCACATCTCTGAGATAGAAACTAGTGAAAGGCTGGGTGGTGGTGATGCACGCCTTTAATCCCAGCACCAGGGAGACAGAGGCAGGCTGTGTTCTGTGAGTTTGAGACTGGCCTGGTCTACAAGAGCTAGTTCCAGGACAGCCTCCAAAAGCCACAGAGAAACGCTGTCTCGAAAAATCAAAAAAAAAAAAAAAAGAGTTTATAAAAAATAACTTTAAGCCCATCTTGGAGTGTGTTTTCTCTGTGATGTATGTATTTGTAGACATTGTCTTAGATATCCCTTTCAAATATTCCTAGTTTCAAGAACATAACCAGTAACTACACATTTTAATTTATTTCATGCTTACCAAATAGCTTGTGCTGTGTTCTATTATCCATACTCACAACTGTGAAAACTGGTGTTGTCATATATCTTGTTAGAAGTAGTGATGTATTTAGACATCAGTGTTTCTATATACTATTAATATGTAAATAATAGAAGCACATGTCTTGCTTAGTAAAATTAAATATCAACTACTGATTGTGAATCCACAATGATGGATATTTCACATTGCCTATGGTAATGATGGATATTTCACATTGCCTATGGTAATATAGTTTGTGTGAATTTGTCCTTCATTAACTACTGACATAACAACTATATTTTAGAAATGTTAATGAAATATTTAGGAGTAGAAGTATTTAGTAGTAGAAATAACCCGATTCTACTCTCCAAGATTGGTTTGTCTCTGTCTGTCTCTCTGTGAATGCGTTTGTGTGTGTGTAATTTCCATGTACTGCATGAATGGAAAGGTGCATATTTTGATATTGGGGTGTTCACTGTTCCCTTTACTTTTATTGGCCCTGTTGTAATTTCACTGGCCATCTAGTTGTGGCATGTGTACTTGCCCATGGGGAGGAGATACATGTCTGACTGAACTCTTAGTTGGGGCATTCCAAGGTTAAGTGTATAAATTGAAAATGGGTATGCCCTGTACTGATAAAATGACCATCACTTTTTCCATGGCTTCCAGGGCTTTTAAATTTCTAAAGAATTAATATTCTCTAAAAGATTAGAAATAAAAGTGTAATTTAAGTGGAAAATACTGGTGTTTTACAAATACCTTGGGAAAACAGTAACAGCAATAAATACATAAAATAAATAAAACCTCAGTGCTGATAGGATATGTTGTGTGAAGTTACATCAGACAGTTTTCATAGGACAGTATTCTTTTAGGACTTGTCATGAGTCATCAGGTTTTGAGGGAAGCACTTTGAACGTACATATGTCTTTTCTGTTGTTCATATGAGTAGATGAGTAGTCAGTATTAATCTTTCTAGTAATTAATGAGACTAGCAATAAAGCAGAATACATTTATATGCCTTCATTTTAAAATAATATTTTGCATTGTTAGAACATTTAAAAATACTTTTTATCAATTTGTAAGAAGAGTGGTGTATTTAAAATAATCTTTTAATATTTATTAGTGTACAAAATAGATTATATTATGGCATTTTTCATGCAGAATTTAATTTTGTTGTCTTCTCTTGAATGCTTCTAACCCCAATATCTTCCTTTCTTTTTTCATGTCACATAGGTCCTTTGCCCCTCTCCTAGTCAAATCTCTTGTTTCCCTTTTGTGATCTCCTTTAAAGTGAATATTTGCTTTGTTTTTCTGCAGAAACGCTCTAAGGGACAAGTGTTATTTGACAAAGTGTGTGAACACCTCAATCTCCTGGAGAAGGATTACTTTGGGCTTCTGTTTCAGGAAAATGCTGAGCAGAAAGTAAGTGACTTCACCTTAGTGCTTTAGAAAGTACTCTAATTTTCTAATCAGTTAATTTCAGAATAAATTTAACTAATTTACATGCTTATTAGATTTTGGCAAATATTTAAAAATGATTGTGTGAAAAATTCTTGCTTTTTGGCATTTGGGGTATATAATGATTTCTCGTATTATAAGCAGATGGAATGGAATGTTTTCCTATCTTAATTGAGATTGAAAAACCTGGGTGTAAAATTATATGAAAGCTTCAGCTCTTCAGTTCACAGTAGAATCAACTTGTGCAATGAGTTGTTGAGGAGAAAGCACTTCAAATTAAAAGATTCAATAGTGGGAAAATTGATCTAACATGAGGACTATCTTTTAAATAATATTATTTAAGTCATGTCCCAGTTTTGCTTCATAGTGCTAAATACAGAGGCCAGCCATGTCGGCTCATTGCAATCACCTATGTAGTAGCTACCGAATAAGCCTGAGTAGTAGGGAAGTGGGTGCACAGAACTGTCGGGAGTAAGACTACCCATGAGTGCTTGTTTAGATACTTGGGAGGAAGTGTTTGTCTTGCTTAGTGGGCCTTAGTGACTTTGTGTGGCAAAGGTAGTCCTGTCTCTGTTGTTGGGCTGTTGGGGACAAACAGGTGGTTGGGCCAGCTCTCTCAGGTGGTATGTTTGACCAACCTGTGCTGGATTGACCCTGGATTTAACCTGATGTCAGAGTTTGCTCGGAACATGTCTAAGAGTTTTTCCAAGACATTAAGCAAGAGCATAGGGTGGTCTGTGATCTAAAGCTCATGCTAATTTTATTGCACTTAAGAGATTGTCAGTTTCACAAGTAAATTATGGATGGAAATATTAACCCTTCTTGACAGGACTAGGGCCACCATGTAGCTGTCAGCATTACTAGGAAAGGGCTTTCCTCTTCTGCTTCACTTTGTGAGTGTCTAGAATTGGTGTGGGTGAGAAGATGCTGACGGGAGGAGTGAAGAATGTAAGTTTGTCTCGAGTTGTACCCTACAGAGGAAGCCTGTTTAGTCTGTTGGGTTGTTGCTGTGGAGCATTCTGCATTAGGATGTATAGAGCACTCAGTTGCAGTGAAAGAGGTTTCTGTCTAACGTCAGGCATTCATATCTCAGTCAATAGAACACAGCAGTCATTAGAGGAAGCATAGTGTGCATCTTGTTATTTGCCTGCACAGTATCATTGTTTGTATTTACATATCCCAGTAATGAAATAAAAGGGTTTTAGTTTTAAGCATGATAATTATATGCAAATTAAATTTTCTCAACTTGCTCAGCTTTAAATCCCTGATATGTAATTTGTGGTTTAATTCTACCTTTAGACTAAAGACAAATTGCATGCTTGATTGTTGAATAGTATATATTTTTATTAGAATTGTTTAGGATACTCTCCTCAGAAGTAATAACACACTTCACTAAATAAATGCAGTGCCTTATAAGGCAGTAAATTACAAGTTGGTCGTGGTAATGGTTCCAGTCATGTGCTTGTCTGTTGCTCTTCAAAGCTCCAAAAGAGGAAGTGCTGGGAACTTGGCAATTGTATCTTTTTCTGAGATTGTCTATTAGTAGATTCATAAGAATGTTTAATTTTTGTAAAATATAAAGACAAGTTAGTAAGTTGTGAATGCTTTGTTTAGTAAAGCAAGATAAACAGTTTAGAAAATTATTTCTGAACCATTCCTGTTGAATAAGATAGTATTTAGATAGTAGGATTTACTATTTTTTTAATTTAAACTTTTAATACACATGTCTAGTTCATATCTTTCACCTGAACCTTTGATCTGTTACTCGGTTGTCTATACTCCTGATCTAGAAGCAAACTTTATCTTTCCCTTAAGTGGCACCTATCCCTGAAGGTAGTTCTCGACTCTTGTTTCTCCTTGCCTCTGTGAACAGCCAGGTGTCTGAGATTTCCCTTAGTTAGAAACATGAATGTTTACAGTTTAATTCCTTGCAGTTGGCTTGAGCTTTACTTCTCAGTACTGTCTCACAGCAGCTGATTTCAGTGCATGCCAGAATCTGCTTCCCAAGTGAGCCTTGTGTCTGTCTATCTTCCCATGCAAGTTATATCTGTCTGCTCATACATACTATGCTGAGTTGATTGGCAGTTTCTTTCTCATACTTGCCCTTTCTAAAGAGCTACCTAAATATCCTACTGAGAGAGTTCCCCCTGCCCCCCCTGCAGGGTGGGGGGAATGCCTTCTACCATTTTCTCCACAGCTCAAGGGCAGTGAGGTAACACTTTCCTCTTATCAACATATGTGGCACGAACCTTATTTGTGCGCCGTTTTTTTTCTATTTATTACTCTGTATCTGAAAGAATGATGATGAAGTCTAGTGAGATATGGAGAGTTTTGTGATGACAGGATCCAACATTTGGCTGTGGAAGGGGATGGCCAATGTCTGGGAGGGTAACATAGTTACTGCAGATAATAAGATAAGAAGGGGATGGGAATATACCTCAGAGGTCGACAGTTGGGCCTCTTCCCTCTAAGAATATGTAAGGCTAGAATCTGATGGGGCTTATGTAGCATTCTCATTGAGAGAAAGATGACAGTGCTGAAGGAGTCCAACATTCCTCGTTTAGCTTTGTGGTTAGTGTTTTCCAATGAAATGTCAGATGAAAATGTTTGTAAAATTAGACGAACACTTTTTAAATACGAAAGCTTTAAGAGTGTATACATTTTCAGGAAGTGAATGCTCAAATACAGTTGAGTATATTAAATTACTTATATGACTAGAGTTCATATTGCATAGCCTTTTAGATATCTTTTTATATATAATAAATATCTATAGGCAAAATCCAGTCCTCAAATTAATTTAGGTGAAAGAACTTTCCTTCTTCCCAGGATAAATGTGTGTAGTTTCTCTCTTATTTTTCTGCAGAAATTATTATTGTCATACCAATTTAGCTTCAGCGGTCCTACTTTGAAGTTCTTGAGGTTTCCATTGTAAGAGCTATGGGGTGTCTTTCTTTGTTGTATGTGCCAGCCAAGCCCATGCTCAGCCACCTTGCTGCACTCCCAGCTCTTTTTGTTTCTCTTTATAAGTCTTACATGTTTTTAAAGAAACTTCAGGTACTTACTTCAGTCTTTTGTGAAGTGGCAGTTGGACAGAGCTATAAATATTTTATATAACAATTTGTCATGAGAGGAATCTAAACTGTCTGTGGTTTTAGTCTAATATTGTATCTCTCAGTTGTGACACTGAGTGAGAAGCCTTTCAGTACATTTTGATTAAGAAAATGTGACATGGTTAGTGTTCAGACTTTTCAGTCTCTGTTGAAAAGTCTTGTAAACTTTGCTATAGAAAATGTTAAAAGTATACAGAATCAAGTAGCTTGTTATTCTTTTATACAAAATTACAAGTCTGTGTAGTTTTGGTATTCATGTCTAAGTGAATTCATCATTAAGGATACTGAAGTTTCTTTAAAGAGAAAAATGGTCTTGAATTTTTGTTGTTAATAGAGTTTGGCATTTGGCCCAGGCATTATAGAAGTCATTTTATTGCTAGAAGTGTTTGTTAGAAGTATAGCTGATATCCAAGATTACTTTTTTCAGATTAAAGCAGTTGTCTAATAGCCAGAGCACATCTCCCCAGAAAGCAGAACTAAAAGCTCATAGTAAACTCTTTGCACATACAAACTAAGCAAGAGTCTATGTTCATTTCAACTTTATAATCCTCATTCTCCAGATGTGTAGTAAGTTGCACTGTGACTCGGAAAGCCTATAACTTTCCTCTTTACACCAGCATTTCTGTAGACTTATGTTGGACCCAATATGGTTAAATGTATATAGTACAGGGGATTTCCTTCAGCACTGTATATTCTTAGAGAAGAATGGAGATTTACTCTCATCTTTTCAGCATTTGCTGTACAGGGTGGATTTCTTTGAAATTGTTAAATTCTCATACCTGGCCAACCTTAGGCTTCCTGAAAATAAATGAAGACACAGGCAAATTTGGTTGGGAGTGAGGAACTCAAATTCTGAAACCTTAATATCCAGCCTGGAGAGTAATGTGAGACTGTAAACATCAGGTAGATGTTGTGATTTCTATTTGTTGTTGAGGAAATTGAGGCTTCATGGGGACAAGAAATGTTTTTAAGACACAGAATTGGTGGTAAATGGAAGTTTGACTCCACATATTTCTAAGCTCAGTCTGTATTTGTGGTTACCTGTGCCAATTCTTTCACATAGGAAGCATTGATCCTAATGCATGTTTATACTTATGTACATTAGTGTCTACTTGCCACCATCTTTCATCTTACCATCTCTTTTATTTGCTGAGGCTATTTTTCATTTTTTGGTATGTCTTATGTGTCACTCAACCTTTCCTTAACTGTCAACCCAGAGAAGTTGATTTTTGTTATTTTTCTTTTTTGTTTGCTAAGTATGGTGGTACACATGTAATTTTCCAGCACTTGGGAAAGTGAAGTAGGAGGGGTTGGGAGCTGAATGATCAACCTGGACTATATAGTGAAACCCCATCTTCAGAGTCAAAACACAACAGCAAAAGTAGTTTTTGATTGTTATGTGTAATCTAGAGAAATACTTAGATTTCATTATGATATTGTACTAAAATTTTTAATTTTTGCTTGAGAATTTATACTAGACAAGAAATCATATACCAATCATAGTCTAAGTCCTGAAAGATAAAAATACATTTAATAAAATAATGTGTAATCATTTAAGATGACTACATCACGGAGAGGAAGGAAGCGGAAATGGACAGATAACAGTAAACAGGTATTGACTTTTAATACTTAATATTAAGTTCCCTAAAAATGCCAAATAACCTAGAGAATATGAATTATATAGTCTGTCCATGCCTTTACACTACTGGAGTCTCAGAGAGTGGGCAAGACCTCCTGTCTCCTTGGGAAGAATGGAGCTCTCTGAGTGGAAGTCAGTGTGGTTAGGGAAGGGAACCAGGTAGGCACATGGATAGAGTGCCTTCTGCTGTTTTGTCGTATCATGGAAACAGCTTTGTGGTCTCTGGGTAAGGATCTTTCTTGTGCTGGGTAGCTTTTATTGCCAACGTGACACAACCTAGAGTCACTTGGAAAGATGGAGCCTCAGTTGAACTGCCAAGATCAGAAAGGCCCAAGGCCATTAGTCTTGTGTTTTAGTCTTGATTGATGGTTGATATGGGAAGGCCCAATCCACTGTGGGCAGCACCATCTGTAGGCAAGAGGGTGTGAGCTCTTTAAGAAAGCTAGCTGAGAATGAGAGAGCCGGAGAGCAAGTCATAGCAGTATTGCTCGATGGTCTCTGCTTTGGGTTTTGCTTGAGTTCCTGCACTGATTCCCTCAGTGATGGATTATTACACTTATCAGTGTAAGCCATATAAACACTCGCCTTCCCCAAGTTGCTTTTGTCACTGTTTCTAACATAGCAAGTGAAAAGGAATCCAGAATCCAGATCCAGATCCAGATCTGGCATAAGAAGCCACAGCAGCCTTCACTATGTCTTGGCAGTCAGTGTTGTGGGAAGTGGCCTAAGGGTGACAGTGTCAATTTGGCTTGGCAGTCATGAACATCTAGATCTGTAAACTGCTCCCTCTGCTCAGTGTTATGAAGCAATTTGGAGGGATTGGTGTTTCATGTAAGGAGAGGGTGTGATAGCTGGGACCCAGGGTCAGTCTGTGGGTTACAGAAGATGATGTTGCTTTCCATCATTCTTTCCTGGAACACAGGCACCTTTTGCTTCTCCTTAGCCAGGTGTCTATGAGGAAACTGGAAGTTTGGGAGGTCTATCTGTGAGACCAGCAATGTTCCCTTACTGTCTTCTTTCTGTGTTGGTGATATAAGGGATCTTGTCATTTGAGTTTGCACTAGTGGTCCCTGATGCCATTTTCCTTTGTGTGATTGTTACTACCTTGTTTTCAGTACCACACATTTAACCTTCCTTCCCCTCTCCCCAGCCTCAGTCCAGCCTGGGTTAGAAGCTCAATGATGTGTTTTTCTTGGTCTTGTGCACTTAACATAGTTGCTATTTGTGAGCCAACTGTGTGCAGGACAGCAGCTGCAGGGTAAGGAAATTGAATGCTGTACTCTTTTATAAGTGGAAAAATAGAGCTTCTTCCTAAATGGCACTAGAGGTACCATTACAGGGTCCCACTGGCTCCTCAATACACCATGCAGCTGGGACACCAATAATAGTGAAACTGGACTGTGCTCTGGTGGCTCTTTAATGAGAGCTTTGAATATGTCTAGTGTTAGGAAAGAGGAACATACACCTTGGATCCTTGCTGCCAGAGGTCAGGCTGTGAATGGTGCAGTAACATCTGAGGACTACTTTCAAAAGATGCTGTTGTTAGTACTTTTTAATAGTGTGTCATGCACTATTGCATCATTTCCATAGATTGACGGATAATTATTTCCTATGTACAACAAATATTTTATTCTTGCTGTATGGGAATAAAATTATGTTTTAATACAGGTTTTATAATACAGTATTTGGGATATTTGTAAAAACCAGATTTACTTGCTGTAAAGTCAGTTGTTTGAGTCTGTGTTGTATATCAAAAAATGTATGTGTTCTGAAGGTGAATGAATTTCTTATGGCTTAATAGTAGGGTTGGAAAAATACAAGTACAAATTTTTAAAAATTTGTGGGAACTGGTTGCTTTACAGTTTGAACATTTATTATCCTTAGGTGGTTTGGAATTTTTTTAAACCCCCAATTAAATTTTTTTTTTGTGTATGTGTATGTGTTAGCTTTCTCAAAAAGTATAAATGAGAGGTGAATGAAATAATTTTTCCTACTTAGAATTCTGTTTTCTAGCTTCAAATGAGAAAGAAGAAAGGAGAAAAGAAAGAAAGACGTTAAGACCAGAAAGGAAAATATTGTCTGTAATCTGTCATCCTCTCTCCCTAGCATGGAAGAGCTGTTGTGACAGGAGGCTGAGGAGGCTGAGAAGGCTGAGGGATGTGACGACATTGGCTTCAGAGGTTGAAATTATTGGCTTAGGACATGTATACTCTGAGGCAACAGTTTCCAGCTCACATTTTATCCTTCTAAGTAAGATTTACTGTGAACAGCTTATTATCTCAGTGTCTGAGGGATGATTTGTGAGCAGGTCTATGTTGTAAAGATTATATATAGTTAAATTCCACCTTATCATTAAATACTTGGATTAAATTCCAAGGGAATGAAATGTGTGAAATTCACCTTAAAGAAATTTTGCATTCTCTTTTTTCTCCCTTTTCCCTCCCCTCTCTCCCTCCCTCCCTTCCTCCCCCTGCCACTATTGCAGTAGAATGCTAATAGGTGAAAGCTACTTAAAAATGAACTTTGAGATGTGAGTTATGAACTGTAAACTGTTCCATTTGATTTGGGGGATAGTTCTTATGGATAACTAATTTTTCTTCCTTCCTGTAGAACTGGCTAGATCCTGCAAAAGAAGTAAAGAGACAGCTGAGAAGTGAGTATTGAAAGAATCATACTCAAATGTGTAACATGTCTATCTTTAATGAAAACCTATAGGGATGAGTACTATAGTGACAGCACAGAATATGGCGATGCTTTGTTCTGCACGCTGAAATCAATACACCTGTGGAGTTGTGACTGTTTGGCTGATACGGTACCAGATGTTTGCAATCCTGACACTTGAGAGGTTGAGGCAGGGGATCATGGGCACCAGGCCATTGTAGGCTGAACAGTGCAATCATACCTCAGAAAGACAACAACAAAACCAAAAGTACTGTGACTGTATATGGCTTAGAGACTCTCCTCTTTCTGGAGGCTATAAACTTATCCTTACGTGTTTGTGAAATCTACTGTTATGAAGTAACAGCCTGACTTTTAAAAAACGCATTGGACTTTTGGGGGTGAAATTTATGTGTATGTATCTGAATGTGTATGTGCCAGAGGTCTGCTTTTGGTGTCTTTCTTGATCCCTTTTCCACCTTGCTTTTTGAGATAACATTTCTCACTGAACCTGGAGCCCATCAGTTTGACTAGATGGTCAAGCCATTGAATGTACCTTTTTGCCTGGCATCCAGTGTTGCCATCCCCAAGCTGGGGTTCATATGCATGCCACTGCTGTGCCCTGTTCTCACATGGATGCTGGAGATTGAGTTCTGTCTTCCTGCTTGTGCAGCACGCTGTGACTGACTGAATTGTCTCCTCACCCTCAACTTTCACTTTTTGTTTGAGACAGTTTGCTCTGTGTAGACCTGATACAAAAATGTACTGTAGACTTTAATTGTTAAAGCATATTCCAAGCCCTAGAGGCACATGAACACATTGTTCGTATTTACTGGAGTGAATACTCCGGGATCAGAGCTGAGCAGAAGTCCGTCCTTCCTTCCTTCCTTCCTTCCCAGAGCTGCCTGTCTTCTCTGTGACCCATTCCAAAGTTCCAGATCGCTTTACCCGTCTTTGACTCTGGGTTTATGTTAGCATTGATCATTCCTTTCCATTTTTACCATTCATTTTCATTGTAGTAATTCCCATGCTTCCTGCGTAGCCAGCCTCAGTCCCTGTGTAGAGTGCTTCTGCCCATCGCCTTGCCTTGGATAGAAGTGCCAAAATAGGTTAGAATTGCTGAGGAGTCTCTGATGGGGGATCCAGTACTTCAGAGTTTGTGAATACCTCAAACAGGTAGGGAGCAAGAGCAGCCTGGAGCACTTAGACCAGTGGGAAAAATCTGAAGAATAGATAAATCCCTTACAGCTCTCTGAGACTGGCCTGAGGGCTGTCTAGTGACAAGCCAGTTTCCTGAGAACTAACCAGTATGGTTCCCTGTATTATTGATAACATTTGTACATTTCCTACTCATTTATTATTCTGCTGTCAAAACAGTGAAACAATTTTGTTTGTGCTTTCTATCTTCTGTCTTCCATTTTAGTGCCCATTCTTCTCTGTTATATTATTTTTCTCTCTCCTTAATAGCAAAGCTTAGTCTTACTATCATTTCCCCCTTCTATACATTTATTTATTTATTGGCAGGATTTCACTATTGCTAGTGCTGACTGTGAATTCATAATGCTGAGTGCTGGGATTATAGGAATCTTATAACCATGCCTGATTTTCTGTTCTGTATTTGGGCTTATCTTTTTGTAGATTTATTTATTTTACCTTACAAGAACTTTTTATTGGCCAATCTTTCTGCCTTGTCCAGAGCTGAGGCACATTCTAGAATTTTAGACACTGAGCATGAAACTAGAATAGTGCATGCATCCTCTCTTTGAACTGTTTTCACTTTCAGCATCCACTGCCTTCTCTGCTTTCTCTTTTGCATTTTATTACTTGCTGTTTTATCCACAAAGATAAGTAGGGAGGAAGTAGTGAGAAGGCAGAACTGATTATGCTGGCATTGTTGAAGAAACTGTCGCAGACAGTTTTCCTTTGTCCCTTCTGTAACCGATACATGCTCTGAAGGGTGTGCTGTAGAATGATAGGGTGCTTATACTTTCTCTGAACCCAGATCTGCAAGGTGACCCAAATCGACAGAACAGGACAATGTCCAAAATGTAATTGATGGCCCATAGAGTTCTTTCCTGGGTTTGCTTTATGCCACTTATTCAGAGTCGCAGATATTTCCTGTTGGAAATTGCCCTTCAGAAGAAAGCTTAAAAAGAAAATTTGAAAACTTGACAGGAAACTTTGCAAGTAAAAGTATTTGAAAAACTTGGAAAGCAAGACTCCCGTTGATTATGAATCATGTTCTTATGTCTTGGTTATTTTTGAAGTGTTTTTTAGAGTTATTTTGGGACGTTTGCCCTCGTGGTTTGGTAAAGGACTAGCAGTAACAATTTAGCATGGCTTTTCTAAACCACTGGAGTTCTTTAAATGATACCCAGCATTGTCTCCTCATGGAATGCAGCATAAAAAGTGCAGTTTTCTTGTTGCAGTAGATAAACAACGTCTCCTTTGGTTTGTCCTATTAGATTTTTATAGTTACTAGCCAGTTAAAAAACAGATCATCTGAGTTACCTAGGTGTTGGCAAGCCTAATGGTTCCCACTCACAATTTACCTTACGTTTTGTTTATTTTCTCAGTAGTATATCTATTAGGCTGTATGTCTAAAACCTGCCTGTCGTTATTATATAAATAACCCACAATTAGTTGAACTGTTTTTTTTTTTTATGTAGCAAGGTAAAATTAGGGATAACAATTAAAAACCACTAGTAGATTTTAAGTGTACTTAACACAAAAATAAGTTTATGAAGTAATTTCTTTGTTAACTTACTCCTTTTATTCATTCCATGATGTATACATATTTCATGTATCTTCTGTACCATAAATGGATACAATTTTTGTCAGCTGAAAATGTTTATTTAGCATTCTTGGGTTTTTGGAAATACATTCTAAAATACAGAAGTTCTAGTAAAAATATATGCATATAGTCATGCCCAGGTAGCTCTGTGCTACTGTGGTAACATCTGGAAAGCTGAGGTGTTATTGGGAAAAGATAAAGTCTTATTGTGATTTACTTGGTTATGGATTGGTGGTCACCCCACAGAAGGATGTGTACGAAGTGTGGTTCTATAGGTCTAAAACCTGAGAAATTGTTTTCTCTTAAAAGTATGTCAGGGTATTTCTTTATTCCCACTTTCCCATCTTTAGGATTTTTTTTTTCTTTTTGAGACAGGGTTTCTCTGTGTAGCTTTGGAGCCTATCCTGGCACTCACTCTGGAGACCAGGCTGGCCTTGAACTCACAGAGATCTGGCTGCCTCTGCCTCCTGAGTGCTGGGATTAAAGGCGTGCGCCACCAACGCCCGGCTTAGGATCTTTTTGAATGCTTTCATTATACTGACAAATATTTCCTGAATATCTGCTGTGACCACTTGATCATTTTCATGTTTTGCCAACATTGTAGAACTCCCAAGATTGTTTATTTTATTTTTTTTAGGAACGGGGAATATTTAGTGGCTAGGAATCACATGGGTAAAACAAGTTTATCTCAGAACTATTGGATGGAGATTATTCAATTTATTGTATAAGAAATCACCAATAAAATATTTATTTATAAAAAGTAAACCTATTATTCTCTAGTGGCTTACTTATGTTAATTTCTAGTTTTTAAAATTTTATTATTAATGTCTAGGTGATACTAAATTACTGTAAATAAAAAACAAATTGTTATTTGGTGAATAATTGAAGTTTTGTAATTACAGATCTTCCTTGGCTATTCACTTTTAATGTGAAGTTTTATCCTCCGGATCCTTCTCAGTTGACTGAAGATATCACCAGGTACCTTGCATTCACATTTTGAAATGCATCTTTGCTTGTGACTGTTGTAACTTTGTTGTGACTTTGCTTTGGTTGTAACTTTAGGACTGAAAAGTGCAATAAAAATGTATGGTATAAATTTTGCCTGCATAGCTGTCGGTGCATCATATGCATACCTAGCATGCACAGGGCAGTTGAGGAAGGTGAGTTACTGGCAGTTCTGAGCCAGTGTGTGGGTATTCAGAAGCAAACCTGGGTTCCCTACAACAGCCCTAAATGCTCTTAACAACTAGACCATGTTCTTTCCCTCAAAGCAGTATACATACATACATACATACATACATACGCCTGCATAGCTGTCGGTGCATCATATGCATACCTAGCATGCACAGGGCAGATGAGGAAGGTGAGTTACAGGCAGTTCTGAGCCAGTGTGTGGGTACATACGTACACACACACAGTACACACAGTACACACAATACATACATACATACATACATACA